ACAGAAATGAGTACCAGGAATTTTCCCGGGGGTAAAGGGCGGCCGGTGCGTAAGGCTGACAACCTCACCGCCATCTCTGATCCGATTGTCTAGAAAATGTGGGAACCTCGACGTCTCACAACCCTATGGGCTTCCACGGCCTGTTACAGGGATAGCTTTACCTTACCTTTTACTTGAGTACTGTGATACAGTCTCAGCCCGAAGAGTGCTATCTTCTGGGATGTGACGCCGTAGAGAACTTCGCCAACGTTTCGGAATATCTTACTTTTCTATCTTTAGGGTCGAATATATGCTAAACAAGTAGGGCCCCGGTCCTGCGTGTTCCTATATTCGTTGCTCCGAAACGTCGGTGAACTCGTGGCGGACTACAGCTCATCATATCCCTGAATGTAGTATTATCTGTAGTCACTGCAATGATAACCTCAGATCCAGCAATTATAGTTTATTTAACGACGATGAATAGACGGAATGGTAGAGTTTGTGTAAATATTAGGTTGCGGGCTGGACAGCCGAAAAATTGGGGTTCGACTCTCAGCTGAGACAGATATTTTTCTCGTCACCAAAATTCCAAACCGGCTCTGGGCTTCAACCAAGCCTCCTCTAATGGCTACAGCGGGCTCATTCCCTGGGGATAGAGCGGCGGAACACTCGCTTCCAACTACTGCGAGGTGTAGTATGCGTGGAGTTATGCATCCACTACGCCACGTGTTTTCTTAAGATGGCGCGTAATTGATCATAAAAAAAGGGTAAAGATATCCCTGTAACAGGCCGTGGAAGCCCATAAGATTGTGAAACGTTGAGGCTCCCACATTTTCTAGAAAATTGGCTCACACATGGCGGCGAGGTCGGCAATACGCACCGGCCGCCCTTTACCCCCCCCCCCATCCAAGAAGGTTCCTGGTACTCATTTCTATTAGAGGCTGAGTCGACCCCAGGGCCATAGTGCGGCTGGAAGGATTAGTTAAATTGAAAAATCCAGTGACCACATCGGGAATCGAACCCGCGACCTTACGGCTTGTAGCATAGTGCCTCAAACAACTACGCTACCTAGTGCCTCCGAAAAATGAAACATAGGGACAAATGTATGTTTGTCTTTTTTAATGACGCTCACAGTATAACAGAGTAATGCTCGTACGAAGTTTAGTGAATAATGAATTGGAGAGAATGTGAAAGGAAGCTGTCGGTGTTGCCCTGTTGGCCGCTGTGTTCGCTTGCTCAGTTTCTTAGTTTATGTGCCCATTGGCGCCGTGTATTCTGTGCGGTGTCGAAGGAGTGTGGGGAGAGCTTGTGTATCAGACAGTTCACTCAGAAGCTGTTATGGCATTAGAATAATATGGCAGGTTTCTGCCGAATGTCTGTAGGACTTGTTTTGATTAGTATTTGGGACATTGTCAGTTGACGCAGTTTTTCATACTATAATATTTCGGGGACTGGTTTTGTTTCCTTCATCAGGTGACGGACTAATGTAGGGTAGGCCGCACCATAGCTCAAGCGGTTAGTCGTTTGCTTCCCACTGCGGCGGCCCGGGTTCGATCCCGGGTCTGGTCAAGTGGGATTTATGGTGGACAAAGTGGCGCTGGGGCAGGTTTTCTCCCAGTACTTCGGTTTCCCCTGCCAATCTTCATTCCACCAATTGCTCCACAATCACCTTCACCTATCATCTGGGGCTGGTACAATAGGCCAGAACTGGCCGCAGTACAAGGGACTTAGTCCCACCCCACTAGCAATAAAAAAAATTAGGGAACCTTTCTACTTCGGGTCAATTGATACTAGACGAATGTGTAGCACTAATGCAGTGATTACGGACGGTAGGAGGCCCAGTGCCAGAAGGAAACTCACCACGGTGCTGCCATCTGGATACATTGGTAAATCGCGCGGTAATTCCCACCCGAGAGGGAAAGGGGGCAGGGGGATTAGACCCTCATTTTCATTAGTCTCAGTGTAAATAGAAAATCTGCCATGAGCGCATGTTGAATTTTTGCAAGCGAAGGAGAATTCCAGTCCATTTTTCTTTCTACAAATGTGTGAGCTAACAAGTGCTCGACGAAAGCAGAATTGTTTTAGGATGTGAGTCCCTGGTCACGATTGCAATGCACACACGCTTTCCTCTCTCTATCGGGACCGTGAAAAGTATGACCGATTTCCCGGTGTTCTGCACGTTTATGAACATTTTAAAGTAGTACGTGGATGGTTGTAAACTGAGCGAGGTCGTATGCTACAAGACACCTCGGACCTTTCAAGTATGTTTTTGTTTTCTGGAAAAATTGGTTTCCTCTCTTAAACGAGCGGATATTAAAATATTACGATGTTCCTTTATTTCAGAAAACAGAAACCTTATGTATTAACGTTCTGCATGTACAGACCAACAAAGTACCATGAAGGTTACTTGTGTGTTGGAATCGAACGTCTTGCAATATGATAGCTCATTATCGACGTTTCGGAGACACCTGCTACCTTTATCTTAAGAATAGAAGAGAGCGTGAAAAAGTGAGAAGACTGGAAGCTTCTTTACCCTGAAGATGGAGGCATCAGATTCTCTCGAAACGTTTCTAACGATGTACCAGAGTATATAGCGTCACCTGCCAGAAGACTGTAATCTTCACAGTAACCTCCGTGAGATCCCCAAACCTCATACAGAACACTGACACCTTAGTGTGAAGCTGCGGTATTCTGCATGTGACGTCTTTGTGGTGCGATGTAACGACGCTGTCAGTAACTAGACGCTATAGCCTCGAATACTAATATGGTTATTGAATTGCGAGAAATGTGGGTGGAGGTGGTCGTGGTCTGTTGATGTACTGTCTCAGCACTTGCCTGGAGAGACTAAGAAAAACCATGTAGGACCTCATTCAGGACAGCCCAGAGGTTTCCAAAGTGTTCATTTTACATGTTTCACAGTCAGCATTTTGCGCTTCTTGTTCCGTTGGCCGTACTCTTCGCCCGTCTCCTTTCGAATCTCCATACCGATACAGAATATCCGGCCTTAGAATCTTCATGGTTTTTCTCAGACCCTACAGGCAAATGTCGGGATGATTAGGCCACAACTGCAGTCTTCCAATTCTTTCCAAATTTATGATACAACAGTGATCCTACCGTTCGACGCTATACAGGGTGTCCCAGGAGGAAAGGTCACAGTATCGGTCATTCCAAGCAAGAAGTGTATATCTACATATGTCCTATTACGAACGGTTTCCGAGATAGAGCTCTTTCTCTGTACACTGTAGAGATGAGCAACACGCCATGTCCTCACACGAGTTGCAAAGTGCATTGATGTTGACAGTGGAATTTTCGAAATTGTATTATACTAGGTGAACTGTACCAACATTGCCACTTGAACAATAAATACCGGCATCAGAAACAGTACGTGATATCCCTTTCTTATCAACAGTTTTGGAACTGTACAGTGAAATGGCTCTATCTCGGAAACCGTTCGGAATAGGACACATGTACATATGTATGTTGTTTGTTGTTTAGAATGACCGATACTGTGACTTCCTGGGACACTCTGTATAGTCGAGATATCGACAGCGTGCTGAAATACCTCACGGAACAGAACTGAATTCGATGCCTTGCAGGTTTGCAAGGTCCTTCTTTTCGACGTGTTTTCCAGCTCACAGGACTGCTTGTACTTTTTACGTTGAGCGTCTTTCGTGGCGTTGGTCGGTAGAATTTAAGAGCAACAAACACATTCCCCCCCTCCCCGACAGAGCTGCATAAGGATATTTTTACGAGATTTGCGTGTGTCGTCAGTATGTTTGGAGTACACGTGTGCACCGAACAAGGCGCGTCTCGTGTTGCGGCCACATTGTTGCAGTTCTGTCCGAAATTTCCACATCCGCACCGCGGCTTCGTGATTGCTCACAGCGGCACTTGTGACGTTGCTGCTCCAGATAACAGTAATAGTTATGTCTAACAATTTAGGTCAGTTCAGTGTATTTATTACAGTACTTGACAACAGTTAGAAATCCAGTCGCAGGCAATAATAATAATAATATAATTAGGGTTTAGAGTGTGAGGATGGAAGGTGGATGAAACTGGCTCAGGATCGTATCAGTTGGCGGGCTTTGATATTAGCGACGTTGAACCTTCGGGTTCTGCTGCCAGAAAGTGTTTGCTAATAAGTAAAATAAAGGGATCCCTGTGCTTAATTAATTAAACATAGCGCTATGAAATCGTATTGGGGAGTGGAGGTAGAGATCCACGTATTCTTAATCTCGGCACTTGGTGGAGGGGTGTGGTCAGCTTCATGCCCTGGCCGCTGTGCCCTCAGTGGAAAGTCCTCTTTACCCATTGGATAGGAGGCTGGGTGGGCACCAGAGGTGTCTGGATGCTGTGGAGTTGAGAAAAATCTCTTGCCTCTGCCTGGAATCGAAACCCGATCTATCCCAATGTTGTGGTTGAGTCGTCGTTGTGTAGTGACGTATCTGGTTCCGCTCTCGCTAGGAAGCTTCTATACCTGAATAATAATAGTCATCCTATTGAACACTCAAGGCGTAACAACGTATCCTCAAGAGATGTTCGACACAACTTCCGTGTTACTGAGCTGCTACCGTTTGGGACCTGGCCAACATTTACAAGTTCTGCGCTACTATCCGGTTACTTTTTGCGACTTGGCCACTATTTGCAGTTTCTTGTCTCCTCCCGTTTCAGACCTGGCCACTTTTTACAATTTGTGGGATAAAACCCGGCTACTGTTTATGACCTGGCCACTGCTCATAAATTTTGAGCTAGCATCCGGCTACAATTTGTGACCTGACGGCTGTTTAGGCTACTATCGAGCAGGAAGTTAAGCCTGCGAGTTTCCAGGGGAAGCAAACCCCACAGCTTGGATTGATGGTTGCTGAGGAGCAGTGATTGTTTGAGTGATTGATGGGTTCAGGTAGTAAGTCACCTCACTCTCCTCTATAATTGGCCATAGCTACATTTACTTTTACTTCTTTCTTGAACTTATAATCCTGTCAAGTTGTTCTGACAAACTTGGTGTTGTTGTGTGTTTGCAGGAGGGGATCATGTCCCCGCGGTCAGAGAATGGCGGTGCGGACAGTGGCGGCGACTCTAGTGGCAACGAGTCCCCGACTCCTGATCAAGAGGCCGCTGGAACACCAGACGCGAGAGGTATGTTGGCTGTCTGGAGGCTTGCCCCACGATATCAAATAAGGCTACATCAGCTTGTGCCGCTCCCTCCCGAGAGAGGCGTGTTCCAGATACTGCGCAACCATTTTTGTCACATTAAACAATTACATGTAACCTCTCGATGCGGAACCCTGTCAAAAGCAGAAAATGTGTGCGTCTTGGGCTCGTGAAGGCTCTGCACTACGTCGTGTCGTGTCCTTGTGATTGTATTCCTCTTGATTTCATAAACTTCTGCGTGGATTTCCGCAGTCCTTCTAGTCATATGGGGGGGGGATCTCGAAGTGAACCTGGGCAGTTTTCTTCCCAATTCCTTACCTGCTCGCTATTTACAGTCCCTTCAGTACAGCCTCTGCAGTTGAAGCGGAGTCCCTAAATTACTTACCACAGCCCAGTACTACTGCAGACTACAGTAGAAGGGAGCGGGCGTGAAACCGCCCTGCCACCCCGACCAGTTCCCATCAGTTATCTCTCCACCCCTTACTTACTTACTTACTTACTCATGGAGCCGAGCCCTTCTTGAGGAGCCGCCAGTTCTGCAGCTACTCAAGAATTTCCCAGCATTTTATGGAACCTGAAGGTTCATCACCGTGTTCACAAGAGCCCTCCACTGGTCCCTACCCTGAACCAGATCTATCTAATCCATACCACCCCATCCTATCTCTCTAAGAGCCATTCTAATATTGTCCACCCACCTATGCCTTGATCTTCCCTGTGGTCTCTTTCCTTCTGGCTTTCCCACCAATATCCTATACGCATTCCTAGTCTCCCCCATTCATGTTACATGACCTGCCCACCTCATCCTCCTTGACTTGATCATTCTAATTATACTTGGAGAAGAGTACAAGTTATGAAGCTCCTCTTTATGCAGTTTTCTCCAACCTCCTGTCACTTCATTCATGCAACCGTTCTTTCCCCCTTTTGCTTTCCGTTGTTGGGTGTGGTTTCGGTAGGCAGTGAAATTCCTTCTCAGGTCTTTATACGGGTCTTGGATTATGAGTAGAACAAGGGTACTAATATCACACCGACACACCTTACAATTACTCACTGTTTATTATCATAGGCTGAAACACTTCTGTCCGTAGGAATGACACACATTACATTTACACACTGTTAAACGTTTTACCATATGCAGAAACACGTCTATCGGTAAGAATGACCGAATCAGAAGTGTCCCGAAGCCCGGACTACATCCTCGAGTTTGGGGACATTAATTCTCCCCACCCTCGCAGATATATTCCATCATCGCTTCTCATTCGATCATTCAAACGGAAGGCGGGTGTGTTACTTCAAATCCTCCAATAACCTTTTACAATTACATCTTCGAAGCCGCTGGTCCAGCGATATTCCCAACGGTTCCTGAGACCTCGCTGGAATGCAGCTGCGAAGTGTAATATTTCATACGATAAGCGGCATCCTTTGCTCACAATATATATATTTATATTGGTTTCACGTAACAACTGACACTATGGCACCACTATACCGTGCCGCAGGGATATGAGTGTCAGCCGTTTACACCAATTCTAGCTCTTAATATTCCAATTTAATCTTTAGTTTAAATTGGACGACTTCAATCATCTCTCTTCGGTCCAAATATTCTCCTCAACACCCCTAATGGTCTGCAAACGTTTACTGGTCGGAACCCCGTGACAGTTGCAGCAGGTCACCAGGCGAGCCCGGAGTGGCCGTACCTGCAAGGGACTAACAGCAGCCGCTCCATTGGGCTGCAGCGTGTCGGATACATATGTCTTGGTCTCAGAGTGAAACTTCACGTGACTGCTTGGTCCCTGAGTGAAACTTCACGTGATCCCTTGGTCTCAGAGTGATACCTTACGTACCTCTTGGCCTCAGAGTGAAACTTCACGTGACTGTTTGGTCCCAGAGTGAAACTTCACGTGACTGCTTGGTCCCAGAGTGAAACTTCACGTGACTGCTTGGTCCCAGAGTGAAACTTCACGTGACTGCTTGGTCTCAGAGCGAAACTTCACGTGACTGCTTGGTCTCAGAGCGAAACTTCACGTGACCCCTTGGTCTCAGAGTGAAACTTCACGTGACTACTTGGGCCCAGAGTGAAACTTAACGTGACTACTTGGGCCCAGAGTGAAAATTCACGTGACTACTTGGGCCCAGAGTGAAACTTCACGTGGCTGCTTGGTCCCAGAGTGAAACTTCACCTGACTTCTTGGTCTCAGAGTGAAACTTCACGTGACTTCTTGGTCTCAGTGAAATTTCACGTGACTACTTGGTCCCAGAGTGAAACTTCACGCATCTCCTGGTCTCAGACTGAAATTTCACGCTGCCCCTTGGTCTCAGTAAAACTTCATGTGACCGAATGGTTTCACAGTGAAACCTCACACAAGCCTACCCCCTTTCTCTTTCGACTTCATTGTGCCTCATACTACACATTATGTATTGGAAACACAACAAGATATATATTTCATCATAAACAAACTCTGATTATTCCATGCAAAAAAAAATTGTACAAAAGAAAGTGATTAAGACTTTAATCTCTTTCGACCTGTACCCCAATTACGAGTGACTGGTTCGAGTCAGCCCGTTTATCGACTGTCCTGAATGAAGTTACTGCATGTGTTTCCTCATTCCCACCAGGAAAGTCCAGGGATAGTTCCTCAAAAAGACCACGATCGAATCCTTCCACATCCTTTGCCATTCTTTACTGATCTGCCCCAACATCCGGCGCTGTATAACCTGAGGTGTCGACGGCGTCAGTAAACAAAAATTGGGAGAAGAGTGAGATAATTTTACATAGTGAACGTTATGTAATGGGGGCACGCGGTAGCGTAGTTGGTCGAGGCACAGTGCTACAAGCTGGAAGGTCACGGGTTCGATTCCCGATGAGGTTATTGGATTTTTCAATTGACCTAATCCTTCCAGCCACACTATGGCCCTGGGCCGACTCAGCCTCTAAGAGCAATGAGTATAAGGAATCTTGCTGGGGGTAAAGGGCGGCCGGAGCGTAAGGCTGACAACCTCACCGCCATCTGTGATCCGATTGTCTATCTAGAAAATGTGGGAGCCTCCACGGCCTGTTACAGGGATAGCTTTACCTTACCTTTTTACCATTATGTGGTAGTGGTGTGATGGTTGTGGAACAAGGGCTCCTACTCTGAGGGCAGGACGTAGGAGGGATGAACTTTGTGGTTGCGTTCGGCAAGAACCGGCTGTTGGAAGAAAGGATATTTCTACGTACATCGACGGTGCTCAGTTATGGAGAATAAAGGCTGTCTAAATTTTCAATTTTCCTAGATTTATTTCTCCTTTTGAAAGACAGAAGGAAAGAGACCACTATGAAGATCAAGACGTAACATTTAAGATGGACAGGAGTGCAGCGTGGATAGGAGAGAAGCACATATATAGTTTTGTTGGAAGATCATGAAGAAAGAACCACTAGGAAGATCTGGACGTAAATGGGAGGATAATATGAAAATTGATCATGAAGAAATAGGATGAGACGCTATCGAGTGGATTCATGTGGCCTAGGATAGGGACCAATAGCGGGCCGGCGTGGACACGGTAATGAACCTTCGTGTTCACTGAGATGCCTGGAATTTCTGCCGTAGCCGAGTAAATGTTAGCTTCTTAAGATGGACCCTACTCCATGTTGTATTTGCTTTAACAGTGTGGCCAGTAATGATGATTGGTACGTTCTGAAACACTGTAGCTTTTTCTTTACGTTTTCTATGCTGACCTTGCTCTCAGCGGTTTGAAAATCGCTGATTTAGAGACACCTGCGGACGGTTCAACGCTCACGGAACGGATGAGGTAAGCTGAGTGTTTGTCACCTCTCCATTCAGCCCGAGCTGTCTGTCTTTCAGCAAAACAATGCTAACACGTGAGAGCAGGTCACCTGACTTGTTGGTTGTGACTGGGATGTGACCCCGTGTAGGTTGGTAGATCGTTACGAATTTCCATGAAGAACTTTGTGCCTGCATCCTCAGGGTAGAAGACGCAAACAAAACGTGGGACATGGCGCGGATACCCTGATTCACTGTGGCCATGATTTTCGTCCTTTGGTTATTGTAAGACGCTGACCGTAGCTCAGAGTGTGTAACATCGAATGAGTGGGTCATTAATGAATAATGAATGGGAAGCGATGTTGAAGGAAACGGCCCTGACCTAATAATGAGTTGCTGTCCCTGAATATACTTAGAGAGACTGAAGAAAACCACCCAAACCCTTAGGATGACCGGTCTTTGGGCCGGGGTTTGAGCCCAGGATCTCGCACATGAAGCAGGAAGTCAGACTGGGATATTCTGTATTCTTCCGTTGGAGGAAGGCAGTTATAGGGCTACACGGCTTTCGTCACACGCATTTGGTTCACGTAGTCCGGCAGCCGTTCATCTTTCGATATCATTCTCATTTATTTCACCCTTGATTTATTCTTCTACCCTGAAGATGGAGGCGGCACGCTCTTCCGAAACATTGTTAACATTCTGCTAGACTACACAGCATCATATTCCAGAGGGCACTCACCGTCCCGGTTCTTGCTTTCTCTATATCCTACTATTTTTTCATGTTGTGCTTTCTCTTCTACCCTGAAGACGGAGGCAGCGTACTGCTCCGAAATGGTGGTAACAGTTTACCAGACTACCCAGATACAAGTCACGTGTGACCGCTTGAGCCAATTGTTCGGTTTTACCGAAGGCTATGCTGAAATCTTCCCCGTATTCCTACCAGTATGTACGGTCGCCTCTACTTCTTTATAGAGCGAGCTGCTGTTCTACATATATTGTCATATTGACGATGAAAACGGCCATATCCCTCGCGAAGGGCAGGTACCTCTTCCTACATTTTATATTTATTCGTTTTATTATATTTCTGGCATGTTTCCTTCGCCATGAGCGTGAGCGCGCTGTTTTGTCACGGCCGAGTTGGTTTCCTTCACTTCACTTTATGACCTTTTTACTGCCTGAAAGACACACGCGAAACAATTTGACGGCTGGAGTGGTATGAAAAGGCTTTTT